CCTCCTGCAAGCTATTATTGAACAACCAATTGGAAAAGTCCTGACTCAAATTACAAAATGCGGGTGATCCCCCCGATTTCTCCTCGCGGCGAAGGAGGCAATTGAAATCAGCCCCAATGACCTATGGCTCAGAAATACCAATCACTAGCCCTTCAAAGTCAGTCCAGAGATGCTTACGCCCCGTCGCATTGGGACTAGCATCGGCGAAAGTCGCCAGACAAGACACACCATTTTTGGAGATCCGCACGTGGACCAGCTGACGGGAATAGAATAACACGTTAACACATACATCCTCGTTCCATAATAGCCAAATGCCACTCGAAAAACCTTGTGCTTCAATTCGAAAAGAATTGTCCAATTTACTAAATCGCACAAACCTATCCGTCGTCTCACCACTAACGCGTGGTTCAAAGAGAGCCATAATATCAGATTGATACTGGTTAACAAGGGTAGAAAAAGCTCCGCGAAAATCAGGCGAGCATGCACCCTGGACATTCCATGTGATAATATTCATAGTAAACAAACAAAAGGGAAAGGATAGAGCTCCATTAATCCAGGCGATGAGCTTGCATCTCTGGGTTCTCTTCCATGCACATGCGATCCGTCGGGCTAACATCCGAGTGCTCCTGAGAGTGTGTGTCCTCCGTCCATGGGTCTTGTCTACGGACATTATGTTCGTCCTCTACCATGAGAGCATCCTCATCCGGCACCGCACAAGCTGGTTGTTGAGGAGTGATGGGTGAAGACCCGTGGATTCTCTCACCAGCAACCACGAGCGCCCGATGTTTATTTGGGTCCATACCAGCACCAATTCGGACAGTCCCGGTGTGGCCCTGTTGTACGGCCGCTCCAGCAAGAACGTGATGTTGCTCGTCCTTATTTCTCAGCCCAACTGATTGGTGATGGGCCACCGACTTACCTTTATCCACCTGCTTTGTCTGTCCACGTACGATCTCTGAAGCGCTCGCTACACCCTCATTAGCCTGGCCTGAGGTCGCCTTGTTATGTCGCTTCCCGCACCCCGTCGCAACACGCCAACCCCTATCGTTCATGTCCACAGCACTCCGAGTGGGCAACGAGGACTTATCCTTATTTGTGTTCGTAGAAGCGGCTCCGAATTCGAACATTTGATTTTGGTCTCAAGTTTCCTCCCGTGCAAGAAGATCAAATCGGGATCCTCGACCCAATGCCGCTGGCATGGCTTTGTCGCTGGCAGCTTTGTCCCCTCCTTTTTCCCGCCGAGAATAAGTTTGACGTTGCCGCTGAGGTACCTGGATCCATGGGCCATATCTTGGTGTTATGTCTCCCCCCGACGACACTTTCCCCCTTGTACCCTCCTGCGCGTCCTTGGGATTTTCGGCAGGCTGGGCAGCCATGGGGCCTGTGCTCTCCGAGGGCGGTGTGTGATATACACACGAACTTCCCGAGTGACCAATTCGCCCACAATGAAAGCAAATGACCGGCAAGCTCTCGTACACCACTCTATGATATCTGTTATTAATGTTGATCTCCACACAAAGTGGTTTTGTGAGGTCCACCGTTATAGCAAGCCGAGCATACTTGCCACGAGTGAGGGTCGCGGTTTGCTGATCAATCTTAACAACTTTTCCAACAATCTGGCCAATTTTACGAACAATCTTCTTGTGGTAAAAATGCGCTGGCAGACCAGGTAAGCGAATCCAGGCCACTGTAGTCTTTAGATCCTCCTCAGTCGCATCAAAGTCAATCGTCCATGGCTGGACATGCATATAACTACTTCCGACAACATAGGGCCTTCCAGTCAGCACTTGGGTCGTGTCACTATAGTGGTGAAAGTGTATCAGATAGAAGCCATTTTCCAAATCCATCATATTGCAGCCTGCCATGAAAGGCCACATCTTGGTAAGTCGATTATAAAGAGACGCCATCGTAAGGGATTCGTCAAACGACTTCACTACAACCGCATTCTGCCATTCTTTCTGAATTTCGTCAAAGAAAGGCTTAGCAACAGCAATATCAGAAGTGGATTTCGATAGGTCTACCATCACATCCTCATCCCTCTCCGGGTCCTTCGTGTTATCATCAGGCTCCATCTCTACATGATGTCTATTATTATTGACCATGTCTTTAAAAGTCCATTTGCGTGGCGGCGGTGCCGGGCCGGAATCCACGGCTTGAGGCTGCACCGGCGACTCCGGCACAGGGGAGCGATCCAAAGGTTCTCCAGAACGTTTTAGAGTCCTGTGACGTTTATTAATTGACAACACAGTTCGATTTAACATCGGAAATTCCGTGTTAGGGTCGAAGGTCCGATTAGCATCTCTAGGATCAAAGATCTCTGATCCGTTGCTGAGCGACGGGAGGTCTTTTTGAGCGGTATCGGACATTAGGGTTTTTTCTCTATAAGTTTTCAAAAGAAAGAAAAAAAAAATAATAAAAAAAGAGCAAATTAGAAGAATTAAAGAAAATAGTAATTGGTAAATAAGGAAAAATTAGAAGAATTTAATAAAACTACTACAGATGTGTGGTCCGAGGAAGTAAAGGCGGGTCCTACAAATGGTAGTGCACACCTTCTAGGTGCTTCCATAAGTGACAAAGTTAAATTTCAGATGAAACTAATTACCCCCAAAATGAACAAATTCATACTAAAAGCACTTGAACAGTAGTAGTAGTTTTCGATTTTTGCTCTCTCTCTCACTCTGAATCCCAATTTGCATTGACTCTGAAGTCTTCCCCGAAAGATTCCGACACCAATCTTTGTAATCCTTAGGTTTTGCGTTCTAATCATCGCCAGCCACCAATAGCTGGTAATTTCTGGAAATTTGTGTTGTTCATTCATAGGAATCTTCGCAATCCTTCCCTCTTTCTAATTGTTTTGTCTTTATTCCATATTGATGTGTATATTTATCTTTGCATGTGAGTATATGTGTGTGTAATGAGTATTCTGATCTGGGTTTTTTGTTCTATTTATCTTTGTTTTTACTTATGTTGCTTTTTGTTCTTGTTTCTGGTATTTTTGTAAGCAATTTTTGTTTGTTTGTTCTTTTTCTTGATTGCTGGTTTATGTTAGTTACTTGGTTTAGTACTTTCTATGGGTGATTAAATATTTTAATGTGTTCAAATGGGTTCATACTTGAGAATTTCAATGATGTTATTGAAAGGGAGTTGTGAATTGAATGTATATAATTGGTGGAAGAAGTGAATGTTTATGTTCTAGACGAAAACTGAGTGAAGTCCAATATGGTTCTTTTGATCATCCTTTTTCGTGTATAATCTGAGTGTTTTAAGTTATTTTAATTATTTAGTATGCAAACCTTGGTTTGTTGAGTCACTTATTTAGAATTTGGCAAAACGAGTGCATAAAATAGTCAGAAAAAGTGCTAATTGGCTTCCTTGTATAGATATGCTAGTTGTTCTCCTACTCCAAAATGACATTTGGTAAAGAATTGTTTGGATTGTGTTCGTCTATCATCTATATACCCATAGCATATGCTGAAACTTGTTACAGATATGTGGTAAATCTTGTGTGATGAAATGTTTGTGTGTTTTGTAGCATTCCCTTTGATGAGCAGAAACATGTAATTGTTCATGCCATTATTTTTAAAACAACCTTAGTCGACATTTGTTAGTCTTGTGCCCCGCGGAAATAACCGAGGCTCAGGCTGCCTAGGGCCGCGACCCGTGATCCCATGATTTCCGCGATCCGCAGGTCATCCCGACCAGAATTTAAATATAGTGTTTTTGAACTGATTTTGAAGGGCTATTTATGGAGAGTCGTGCCTAGGGTAAAGGGATTCATTCCAGACTTGATATTTTTCAGTTTTCTCTCTTTTAAATCAATATTTGGCTTAAATTTGGATCTTTGGAAAGTGATACTCCAAAAAAATTGCATTTTGGATTTGGTTTGTACTTTTGATTCGACATTCAACTTTGTATTAATCTTAAACATTCTTCTAGTTTTGGCTATGGGTTTGATGTGTTTGATTGATATGATAATCGGTGTTGAATTTGATATGCGTAGCTATATTACCTTGCTAGGGATAGGGGATAGGGGATGATTGTTGATGTTCAAGTGCTTATCATGCTATTAATTTTCATTTAATCTATGCGACTTGTGTTATACCTAGGGTTAGATGCCTAATCACCTTCTAATCTATTTAAACAATTTTTAGAATCGAGAGGGGAGGATTGTTCGACCTAGGCTCGTATAGAGTAGGCTTGTTTGACTGATTTTTCGTCCATGTTTATCCTCTTGTTACGAAAAGTTATTGTTATGAGAAGTTATTGAGGTTAAATCTTTAAACGGATGTTGATAGAATTATAATCAATTGTTTGATATTTACATTTTGATTGCCTCGAATCTTGTTTGAAAAATTGGTAATTGAGTAAATTGCTTGTTTGGAATCTTAATTGTTAAACAAAGACCAATTCAATTGATTAGAGTGTTTAAAATTTATATTATCTTTCTTGTGCTTGAATATTGTGCAAAATAATCCGGCTAGCCTTCCTTGCGATATAACCCGAGGATCAGTTTCTTTGAATTGACTCCGGTAAAAGTAAGTATAACAATATGAGTAGTTATTGGAGATGGTTATAGTTTTTCCTTCTCTTTTTCCTTGTTATTTTCAGTTATTCTTAATCTTATGCTATACTTCTTTTGCGAGCAACTGTTTGCTCCCAAACCATTATTGCATAAGATATCAAAAGACGAGTGCCTCATTTTTCTGCAAGGCCTGATTGAATTGGGTGATGCTCAATTTAAGCTCGACTTAGAAATATTTTTAAGTTGAGTATGTGCCATTCTTGGAGAGTGCTAAAGCAACACTCCAATAAGACACGCATTATTCTTGTTATAGTTGGTTAGTTGTATTCACGTGGTTCATCTATGAGATTATAAGTTGTTACCGTTATCTAGTATATGATTGTATGAATACGCCTTCTCAGGTTTTCTTCATTTCATGCCTTTTGGATAGTGTTACAATAATTTTTTCACTCCTTTTGCCCCTACAAATTGCAGGAGTATGCTATCCAAGTCTAAAAATGTTCATCAAGAAGGAACCAGCTTTTATAATGTAGCAAATTCAACTGTAAATCCTGAACCATGGTGGAATAATACGGGCTATGGTTCATTTTCCCCCCATACATTGATGCGTGGAAATGGGTCCGACTCGTCATCCCTTGAACAATCTGTGGATGCTCATTCCCTGTCTGAGGGTGGAGTTAATGAGGAAGATAATACTGAGAAAAAATCACCCAACGCTAATCGACACCAGTCAGGTACTTTGCTTCAGTCTATTGGCTTGCATCCAAATATGGTGTTTTTTTATGGGTTCTTGTTTTTCGTGTCAGACGATGTGCTTGGTGAAGGATCATATGCAGTCTTCCATGATTTTAACTATGTTGTTTTTGTTTTCATATGTCAGATAAAAGGTATAGGCCGGAGGATTCGAATCTGCAGCAAGTTGAGCAGTCCTTAAATCCAGGACCTGTTGGAAGCCTTACACTGCCAGCACAGCTCGAACTTGTTGGACACTCAATTGTACAAATATTGTTATGAGAAAGAAACACTATGTATATTTGACTTCTGTTCGCCCTCTGAATTGTTACAGCAATACTGACGATCAGATCTGTGTTTCTCACTTATCTTCAGGCCTGTGCTTCAAATCCTTACGATCAATACTATGGGAGAATGGTGGCAGCTTATGGCCAACCTATGGTACCCACTTTAACTGGAAATCTTCTGTTTCATTATTACCTAATTTGAGTCTCATCTTTCTTTGTTCGATTTGAATTATTGTGACAGCTTTTCTGGTTCAATTTCAAGTGCCGAGTGGATCTCTAATTTTTTTTTTTTCTTTTTATCTTCTTTTATATTTTTTTTAATAAATAATCATCAAGGTCCCTCAGTTGTATGATATGCATCAAGTGAGGATGCCACTGCCCCTGGAGGTGGCACAGGAGCCAGTTTACGTGAATGCCAAGCAATACCATGGTATACTGCGGAGGCGCCAATCGCGTGCCAAAGCCGAGCTGGAGAAGAAACTCATAAAATCTCGAAAAGTATTCTTTTCCCCCTTTTAATCAGTAAATTTCCACTTGTACCTCGTGGATAAACTAATTAGTTGATAATAATATTTACTTTGTTAAAACCTTGCAGCCATATCTCCACGAGTCCCGACACCAGCATGCCATGAGGAGGGCAAGAGGGTCAGGCGGCCGTTTTGTAAAGAAAACCGATGGAGATGCCTCTAAGGCCGCAGAAAACCGGGCAGCTGCTTCATCCAAGTCCATCGACACACCAGGATCAGAGCCTATCTATGAGATCCAGCCTGGAAGGGCAGCAGAAGGGCCCGGACAGAGCCATCAGTGGGGAAATATCCAGTCCAACCATGCACTCGCCATGCAATGAGCTCACGAACATGAAATTAGAAGTGGACTTTGTCGATAAAAGAGGGCGTTGTACAAAATAGTGTGCTCGTGTTCAGAATCTGGGCTTTGGCTTTCCTTAGAGGTGGCCGGCAACTCATTCTTGGCTGGTGTTACAGTGGGTGGTGGTCTGTGGAAGGGCTGTTGTGTGCTGCTTTTATTTGCTATTGTACAAAGTGTAATGTAGTTATTATTAAGTCGGCCTTGAGAACACCAAAAAAAAAAA